GGGGGGGGAGGGGGGGGTGGGGGTGTTAGACATTGATCTACCAATCTTTAGTCCCGAGCAAGCTCTCAAGCCAGCCCCTTTGCTTCGCAAAGCAAAGTCAAGGTAGTCCTTACCAGGCTACCTTTCGTGACATTCTGAAAGCATTCACACGAGTCTTCAGTCTCTTTGTTCTCACTGTCGTTGATGACATTGGGCTCGTCATCTTCTTCCACTTCATACTCTTCTTCTGTCTCTTCGATCTCCATTCGATCGTAATTCCTCTCAACCAATGCATCAGGATCTTCACTTTCCTCTATTGGTCCATCTGCACCAATTCTCTGTTCTTCTGTTTCTTCCATCGCTTCTTCTTCTTCTGCAGATTCCTCCTCATCGTCTGTCTCATTGCTTCCTCCTGGGCTCGTCTCATTGTCGGTGATCCAGGCTCGAACCGCTCTCAATCCACTTGTTGCAAATATTATGGTTGCAGCATGGTAGGCCAAAGCATCCTGCCTGCCACACAGCAAAAAGCAAGTACTGCAAGTAGTGAAGTGTATTCCGTGCAGATCGAATATCCCTTATCAGGTCGAGATCTCGTTGGTACTCAAGGCTCCTGATGCGCTAGTTCAAGTTGTGGCACGCCAAGGTCAAAGAAAACTCACGTCCATGCCCTTCGTTGATCAACCTAGTCCTCATTTCCTGAAACTCTTGTGGATTGATTGGAATTCCTGCCGGGCCCCAACCAACCATAGTCCAGCACCAACCAGGTCGCATCATTCTCTCCATCTCCATAATTCTCTGCATAGTTGGCCGGGTCCATGCCAAGCTCACGAGATCTGCTGCCACTCTGTCTGAGAGACTTGGCCTGCAGATGTTCGCCTCATGTTCTCTGCAGTTTCACCTTCTGGTCCTCTTGAAGACGAACTTGGTTCAATCCTCATCGAAGAACTTGTTTCTTGTTGACTCTCATCACTTTCACCTTCTGGCCTCTGCTGACCTTCTTTCTCCTCATTGTTATCTTCATTCTCTCCTTCTTTCTTTCGCTCATCTGGTGCCTCCATAGTATGTGCTTCCTCTGATTGAAACACTCTTGCTGGACCAGCTGCTGCATCTCCGTTGGACTTTTGTGTAATCCTCCTTCTTGGAGTTCAGTCCACAGATGTAGCCATCATCATCCATGGTGTCTCCGCTATTTGGTCCTCCGCCATCGTGGAAAATCTTCATTACCTTCATTTCCTTCTCCTTCCTCACCTTCTTGATCATCATCTTTCACCTGCAAGTCGTAGTGGGTCTTCATTTCGTTTCAAACGGAGCTCTGCTCTCATCTCTTGCTATACTATGCGATATCTGGCCATTGAAGTTCTGATTCTTTGGATTCGAAACACAATCACTGACATCACAAACATCCAGAAAAGAACTGTAGCGCTCAACAAGCAAATGCACCACATACTGTGAATCGCGGTGCTCCTCACGCCATCACAACTATCTTCAACTGGCGAGCGCCCTTTCAAAAGACCTGCAACCATGAGCATCTGCACAATTCGGTGGACTCCAGGAATTGGTTGAAAGCTGCCGCTATGCAATCCAATGAGTCTTGCCAAATGCTCTCTCCTCTCTCTCGTCAAAGCTTTTGTATTGAGGTCTGCAAGGTTCTCCTTCGTTGGGATCCTCCCAATCTTGCGCCATCGGCGCATTGCCTCCTGCCCCCACAAAAAGCGGGTACACAAGCGCTTTGCCCTTCCTGGCCCCAGGCGTTGGAACAAGGCCTGAGCCAAAGTTGATCCAGGAACATCTTCATTTCAACCCTGTCGTTGTCTGCTGGAATGCCTTTGCATGAAAGCAAGAACTGTAGAAAGTTAGAGACAGTGTATGCGGCTCCCCTTTCTCACACGCTCACGGGATAGGTGCTTCCACCTGCAAAACGCGCTGCTCTGAGTCTCACTCATTGCAGCCATTGCTGTCTTTGTGGGACTTGCCATATAGGCACAGAATCCTGATGCGCTCCTGACTCAAGTACAAACATAGCTGGACTCAAGCACTCTTCATCACTCACAACTGTTGAATCAAACACATCTAGGCTGGAATAGGACGGTACGCCACGTCCCCGCCTGTCCTGCAACTTCAGCGTACTGACCAACTTTGGCACATATTTGCTGCTTGCAGCAATCTCCCGTCCTCCTTCATCAACTTCCTCTGAGGTAGAACAACGTTCCTGGCAGCGACGTGCCAAAAGTTGAAGATCTTGGAGAAGTGTTCGATGAACTTGTGGTGGTCTTCCTCCTCAGCCACCAAGATGACGTCATCGATGTGAACTGACAGGAGTTGTCGTCCTTTCTCATGCCTGAAGATCGTTCCTCCTCTGTATGGGGGAAAAGTCAACTGAAGTGCTTACGCCACTCAAGTGCGCCATTTCTCTGCCCTGGAAGACATCTCAAGAGCTTCACCTCATCATAGTTCTCGACATTGCCATCTGTTGATGTCCCAGTCATTTTGCCGAGGTTGGCCATGAGCATCAGGGTAAGGCCAGGAGCCCCTAGTAGCATCCTTCCTAGTAGCGATGCCAGGGGCCCCTAGTAGCTTCTTGTTCCTACTAACAGTAAGGCCAGGAGCCCCTAGTAGCATCCTTGCTCCTGGTAGCGATGCCAGGAGCCCCTAGTAGCTTCTTGTTTCTAGTAGCAGCAAGGCCAGGAGCCCCTAGTAGCATCCTTGCTCCTAGCAGCGATGCCAGGATCCCCTAGTAGCTTCTTGTTCCTGGAAACAGTAAGGCCAGGAGCCCCTAGTAGCATCCTTGCTCCTAGTAGCGATGTGAGGAGCCAGCCCCTAGTAGCATCCT